AAAAAAATCATTCATTCAAAAAAACTTATTACGAGATGTACAATACTAATAAGTTATATTAGACAGACGTGCCCGGTTAGTCATTAGGTTAGATCAAAAATAATATTTATATCATTTTTGTCGTTAAAAGTATATAATTGTGTTAGCTGTTATATAACTGTATCATCATTCTTTAATTAGCTGATCATTGGCAATATTGTTTTTTCTGTTTTGGATTCTGGACATTTTAGTTTGTTCTCTTTAATGTGTTTCATACTGTATAATTTTTTCTAATTTTTTTTTTGGTTTTCTAAAATGCATTTGCCTGCGGGCGCCAAGGCTCCCCTTCAATTTTTTTTTTAGGAATTTGACTCCAGTTGAATTTTTTGTATAGACTTGAGTATTGTTAACAACAGGTGCCCTCTGTATCATCATTCTTTAATTAGCTGATCATTGGCAATATTGTTTTTTCTGTGTTGGATTCTGGACATTTTAGTTTGTTCTCTTTAATGTGTTTCATACTGTATAATTTTTTCTAATTTTTTTTTGGTTTTCTAAAATGCATTTGCCTGCGGGCGCCAACTCTCCGCTTCAATTTTTTTATTTAAGAATTTAAGTATAGTAGAAATATTTTTATAGACTTGAACATTTATAACCTGCATTGGCCCTATGAATACCCTTTCTTTAATGAACTTATCATTTTGAATAGTTTTAGATTCTGAGTGAAACGATGAATGTATTGATTTTACAATGATGTGTGTTGTTTTATTTTTTTTATTTTTTAGTGTCTGTGTACACGATAAGTAGTCGAAATAATTCTTCGATTTTCAACTTCAGTATCTTGTTCGAGTGGAAAGTGTATATCGTTGGTGCACTGAGGAGGTAAAAATTTAAAATACCCAGTACTTTTCAAAAGTGGCAAGAAAAACAAAAGAAAAATTAAGGAAAAACGGGAATTTTTACGCAAAATTTTAAAATTTTGCGTAAAAATTTTTGGTGTAACTTTAAAACAAATGACCGTAGATACATGAAAATTTCACTGAATGTTTATATTAGCATTTCCTATACACCATACTATTTTGAAAATATTTTGACTCTTTTGAGCTGTTTACGGACATTTACAGCTTTCAATTTTTTTTTAGTTTTTTTTTCTATGAATATCAATAAAGTTTTATCTGTTGGGCCAAAAAGTGTAAAAATTTAATACAAGGCTCCTGATATATTGTTACAATATCAGTTGAAAAATATTAAAAATACATAGGCACAATTTTTTTTTATAAGCATTTAAACATCGAATTTTGACAGAATTTTTCAAAATCTCGAAAATTATTAATCATCGTAATTAATAAATTATAAAATGTTCAGTTTTTATAGCTAAGGATTGAAAATTTAAAACAAGATTCCACGTAAGTAGTTAATTCTCTTAACGAAAAATCTAAACAATATACAATCACAGTTTAGTTTTATAGTCATTTTATGTTCAAATTTGGACGAAATTACATATTAAAAAACCTAGTTATTTTGTTGTGATTATATAATATTATTCGTGGGTACCTACTTGAAACTTCTAAAGTGTACTATTATATATCTATGATGGTATCAGGGTTTGTTATTGATGTTGATGTATAACGTGTTATAAGTACCTAATGGATATTGTGATAATGTGATATGATTAATTTGGAATTTATTATAGGTCAATTTTTTTTTTAATACCATAGATATGTATATAATTTGTCTTAAACCTAGACTGACATACCGTCTTCGCTCAGAATCGTTTTTCTTATACAATGATATTGTATCATTGAATTCAAATTTAATAACATCCATTATATAGTGACCCACTTGTAACCTACTGTACAGCAGAGCGACATCCACTTGCCCCCCTTTTTTTAAAATATTGTTCTTTGGTATTAATTTAAACATTACACAAACTGATCAAAACATTAATAGTATTGAGTCCTATTTAGATACAACTACTGCATATTTATCTCATCTAGATAAAGAATGTTTATTTTTAATTAATAGAATAATAAATTGTATAAAGGACTTTTAACATTATATCGCAATGAAATAAAATTATTATTTAAAACATCGATTACCTATCTAGTTGACATCTTGTAACTATAGGCTCCAGGTACATGGGTGCCCGGGGCTCAAGCACCCATTAGAATATCGAAAATGTATAGCGTGTATTTATATCCAAGTTTCAACAATTTTAGCAGACGACTATTAAAATAAAATTCTAGCTGTGATAAAAATATTGCAATTTTGAAAATAAAAATAAATTAAGTATATCATTTGTATTGATCATAAAATGTAAAGGCGGGTTTTCACTTAACACGTGCGTGTGTACGTGCATACAAATCCTTTGCTGTAATTGGTTGGTTAGGTTAAGTTACCACACGATTAACCACGATACCGTGTTGTTTTTTCATAGCTGAACATTTTTCGTGTACACGGCAAACGTGCATGGAGGAAACCCGCCTCGAGATAGTACGGTTTTTGTAACCACTAACCTACATCATGGTAGATATTCAATTACAACTGAGGTATCCATCAACAATCTATGGCTGATGAGACAAATTACAAAATTATTATTATTTTGACTGTTCCGGTATCGTCTTGTACTTCGGAATGATCTTTTTCAGCACTTCGAAGATTGAAAATATGTTTAAGGTGTACAATGAAACAAAACCGTCTTAACGATATTGCTTTATTGTATGTCCGTCGTAATGAAGATTTAGATATTGATAGCTAAGAGCTAACTTATTTATAAATTCAACTATAATACGTCAAAACATATTTATTTTCTGAACAGTCAAATTAAATTTTTTTTATTTTTTGTTTTACTTATTATTATTATTTATAAATAAGTTATCAATTAGGTATACATTTATTTTGTTGTATAGTTAATATATTTTATTATCAATGATGATCGCATATTTCAGTGTACAACATGGTATAATATATTATTTAATATTTGTATAAATAAATGTACCGCTGTTGCCTACTCGTTACGCCGTGCAATAAATCGGTGGCTATAATTCACACATTTTGCTGCTACACATCCAATTCCACTGACCATAATATTTTTAAATAATAGTTTTCAAGACTGAATAAAAGTAGGTACTAAGTACATACTTCATAATTTGCTACTGCACATTTAATTTATTTTGTTATTGCACATAAAGTGACGTGGGCTCAATTTTATAGGCACTGCGATAAATAATAGTTTACATTAATGAAACCATTGGAAACTCGGAAATTCCCTTGTCGTTACCTACTTTATAATGGTGTACTCGTTTATCAACAACAATATTATTAGTCAACTGCGAAAAAGATTTAGATCGGAGCTTGAGTTAATATTAAATCGCAACTATCTGGTGGTACTTCAGCTGGCTGTGTGTTAATAACAAGTGAAAAATGATAAGTTCTAATATGTATCATTACAGAAATAGTGTGGTACGTGGGTATTTGCTAATAATTAGTCAAGTCAATATAAATGTCACTATCGTTATACATTTATAATAAATCTCAACTATTGAAAAAACAAGTTTATTTTAGAAAATTTTTTATCAAAGTGCATTTCTACGCATAGTAGATAAGTAGGTACCTTCTACCTTATTGGTTAACTGCCTTATGTATTTTGATAATAATATATTATAGTATTAAAGCAGACTTTCAACATAAGTTCCTGTTTAAAAAGTGAATGTAATCGGGTATGTAAACTAACTACCTAAGTAGGAAGTGGTTTCAAAAATAGCGATTCTCAAAATTATAACAGTAAAGAAATAGTTTTTATTTCAAACAGATTTGTACTCGAACAGAACCGCTGATTTGCATAAAAACCGGTCCTCCAAAATAAATATTAACACGCTTTTTAATTTTACCAAAATTTAAATTGGTACCTATTTTACAACAATTTAAAATATTATTTAAAACAACATAAAAACTTGGAATTTCGTCATTTTATTATATACTGTATATTGTTTAATATATTTTATACGACGATGAGGTTTAAAGTCATCAAACTTTTTTAAATCATATACCAACCAATATTATCTACAAAACAAAAAACGTGTAAATTAAATAACTTATTTATTTTGTAATATTAACAAACAAAAATCTAATACCCCATTTTAGATAGGTATAAGTACTGGATTTTGTATTTGAAAATTAATAAATATATTATCTCAATAATAGCCTATATTGAGAAGTTTAAACACCTACTCTTAGTTTACATAGTTCATGCCACTACTACACAAATATATTTCGTGAGTCGTGGTTATGTTTAGTTGGAGAAATAGTATATATTTTACAAGACAATAAAACATAAATAGCACCTGGTATAATAGGTGGGTAGGTATATACATTTCAAAGAGGACGAAAAGCGATCGAGCGAGACAACTAGTGGACGTGTGGATGAAGCTTGACCTATCGCTATCACGGTGTTGTTGGAGCTGCTACCGCAACCTTCATCCTTCGTGGTTCCTCTTATGGCACCATGGGGTTGGAACGACAATCACGGTAGTTCACACATGAGATGCATGAATGGAATGCTCCGGGTGGATTGGGAAAATTGGATGTGATAAAGAGGTTTTCCGTTGTCGGGCGGGGGGAAGTGGTGGGCTCTAGTCTGCCCACAAAGCTCCCGCAATCCCTTATTGTCCCGTCTACCATCCTCCGATATTTTAAATAGGTACATGTAAAAATTTTTAATACCTACTATATCGCACATAATATGATTAGTATAATTTTGTAAGTTTAACACAGTATAGGTAAACGATGCAGCCGGGGCATTAGGAAGTATTATAATAACGACAGCCCCCACTTCAATGGCGATAATACAGGAAAAAAAGTGGGTACATAAAGAGGTGAGTTTGACCTACAGAAAACAGCATTCCTTAAGGTTTCGATACTGACATTGTGTACTTATTTAGTAGGTACCAATGTTGTATCATGATCGTTGATCAAGTATTCAAGTGCACTTATTCAGTATACTCTTTTACACTTATTTAGTCATGAAAATTAATCTTAAAATATTCGTATTTTTTCTATTATTTACAACATCAATATTTGCACAATTATACCAGTCAAATTATGGCCCGTATCAGCAGCAAGGAATTCCTTTCAGGGAAAACAATTTTTTAGGTTCACGGCCTATATTGCGTGAGTATGATTTTATCGTCGTTGGAGCTGGTACTGGAGGCTGTGTTGTCGCAAATCGTTTATCTGAAAATCCAAATTGGTCAGTACTAGTACTAGAAGCAGGAAAAGACGAAACCGTGTACACAGATGTACCGGCAGTAGCATCGTTTTTAGAATCATCGGAGTACAGTTGGGGATACACCGCAGAGCCAGTTAAAAATGGTTGTTTTGGTTTTAAAAATAATCGCTGTCCTTGGCCAAAAGGAAAAGGCATGGGTGGATCATCGATAATAAATGATATGTATTACCAGAGAGGGAAAAGAGAAGATTATGATATAATTGCAGGGCTGGGAAATGATGGCTGGGCGTACAGTGATGTATTGCCTTATTTTTTGAAATCTGAAAACAATTCTATACCGGAATATCAAAATTCACCGTTTCATTCACAAAAAGGAAATCTACACGTCGAAAGAGTTAGATATCATTCACCGCTCGTTGATAAATTTATAGAAGCCGGTGGCGAATTAGGACTAAAAGTAAATATCGATTATACAGTTAACCCAGAGTATGGAGCATCGCGTTTACAAGCCACGACAATAAATGGACGCAGAGTAAATATATTCATAATATGCATACCTATACCTAACTATAATGTAACAAATAAATATTAGTATTGTATTTTTACCCAACCATTTGAACATGAACAGTTCATTTATTTGCCAAACCAACTCTTGTCCTCTCGTCTATATTTTGTATTCTTAATTTATTTTATTTACTTATCATACACACATTTTCTACTTAAATATATTAGATATACACAATGTTTATCAATACCTATTGGTAAATATTTTGGTTTTGGTTTTTCACAATAATCATAGAAATTAGAAATTTTAAACATTTTAGAAATCTTAAGATTTAACGTTATTTATTTGGGATTAAAAAAAGTTGTCTGATGAATAAAAAATCTTGTCTTTACTATGCATTTTGAAAGAAAAAACGATTACCATTAGTGCGGTTTTTTTATATTACAATATAATTAACTACCTACCTAACATCAGCTATATATATACACCTAAATATAAATATTTTGTTTGATAGGTGAGTGCTTCTAAAGCCTTTGTCCGTCCAGTCAAAGATCGTCAAAATCTCCATGTGGCGATATTCAGCCAAGTAACAAAAATACTTATTAATCCAAAAACTAAATTAGCAACCGGAGTAGAATTCATAAAAAGAGACAAAAATAGAACAGTATATGCTAAAAAAGAGATTATTTTGGCTGCTGGGCCAATAAATTCACCTCAATTACTAATGTTATCAGGAATTGGACCAAAAGACCACTTAAAAAATCATAGAATACCAGTAATTCAAGATTTACAGGTGGGACAACATTTACAAGATCACTATGGAACAGTTGGTATATTTACTTTTAAAAATTAAATATCTAGATATAATAATTCTAGTGTTCTACTTTCTTATTAAAATGTATTTGAAAGTTGAAACTTAAATATTATTTTTTTATTTAACTTTAATTTGTGTATTTACTATTAAATACGATATTTAAGGTTAAAACTATTTGATAAACTCTTAATAACTTCTGCACAGCAAATAGTCGTTAATGTTTTTTTTTGTGCAATCAAATATTGCTTACCTATTTACAATTTATATGCAATAATAATACGAGAAGTACCTACCTAATACATATAAAATAAGATATAATATTAGGATACCTATTTTGAGTGAATGTCCATTGAAACTACTCAAAAATTAAAATACCTACTAACGTATTTATTTATTTGGCTAGGCGAAGGATAGGATAGGCTAGGATAGGTTTAATCATTAGAAAGGAACCTGCAGGGTCGTTTACTTTTAATCCGAAAAGTTTTATTGCCAGGGTAAGTGCACAGTGGCGGTAGGGTAACTCCAGTAAACTTGTAAACTCCACCAGAATACCGGTTATAAAAAAAGGTAATGAAAAGATCTAATGTAAACTCCGTCAGTTTTATTTTCTTACCTTTGATGAGTATATGGAAACTCCGCCAGTGTTAAGGCCTTCCCACATTAAATATGTAGAAACCATTGGCGATGACATACCTACCTGCTTCGAACTTGCTAAAACTGATATTAGTAAGTTTAATAATATATCGAATCGATTCATTTATTAATATATAAATATAATTTTGAATATTAAAATTAAAGACAAACACTTAGAGTAGGTACCTATTATTCCATCAAGTATGTTTATTGTTTATATGGTAGTAGTAGTTTACATTGTTAAGGGGATTTGATACCTTGTTTTTCTGTCTGTGTCTAATACACACGTGGCATAGGGTTTTAGACGTGTTATTTGACAAACATACCAATTGATCTAATTAAGCAATAATAATTAATAATTCTAAAAACCTATTTGAATTTTTTGTCAAGTCTACTTCAAATTGACTTTTCCACATTTTTGATTTTTTGAGTTTAACTTCTCTCCAAAAATTGAAATATGGCAATTTTTTAATTACTCTTTTTAATATAACTTTTCTAGATTTTTTTTTTGGGGGGGAGGGATAATATAAAAGTAGACTTAACTATAAATCAAATCTGTTTTCAGAATTCTTATCGCTTCATGAGGTCAATAAATTAGTAGGTATGTTTGCAAAGAACATGTCTAAGTTCTATGCAACGCATGTGTTGGATAAATATTACGGTATCGTATCCACATAAGATAAAATAATGTAAAATAATAAATTCTTTTTTTGTTGTTGTTGAATTTCAATATTAGGTATTTAAATAAAACGTGTGATTTAATTCTTCTCATACATGAATAACAAAATATTAAAATAATAATGAATAGTATTCAATCACCACTGTAGTTACCTGTACGATATTTTTAACTATAATATAAGATATAACTTAGGTAGGTACCTAGTACCTACCTAACATATATTCAAAGATAACCAAATATATGTAATAATAGGTGCGTTCGGGTCTAGGACCTGAAGCTTGAAGCTATAATAAGCCATAGGTTTACCTACACATTACACATAAACATTGTTTATTATAACCAATTATCGGGAAAGCGAGTCCCAAATCCTAATATTTTGTAATATCTATAGATTGTATTATTTTTTAGCTTTGGAATTCATAGTAAATCAAACAAGCCCAGTAATCAATCAACAATCCATATCTGATCCTCGTTTATTTGAAGAATGGTTTAAGTATGGCCAAGGACCACTTACAGTACCAAGGGGAGTGGACGGCTTAGCTTATGTAAGGGCACCTTCAGGTAGAGGACTTGAATTAATTTTTGGTCCTCTGTCAGATAAACCAAACGTATTTATAATGACTACTGTGTTGTTACAACCAGACGCTCGCGGAAGCGTAACTTTGAAAAACAGTAACCCACTGAATCCACCCATTATGTCTTATAATTATTATGACAGCAATACTGATCTAGAAGACAATATTTATGCTCTTAAATATGCAGTGAAGTTAGTAGAGGAAACACAGGCGTTTAAAGATGTCGCCGCTAAACTGGATCCTGTACCATATCCGAAATGTGATCATTTACCATTTCGATCCGATGATTATTGGGCTTGTTTATCAAAACATTTGACGCACACTTATCATCACCAATGCGGTACATGCCGGATGGGAGACGTCGTCAACAACAAACTACAAGTATTTGGAGTTCGAGGGCTAAGAGTAGTGGACTCATCAATATTTCCACATATACCCCACGCACATCTTTATGCCCCGACTTTAATGGTTGGGGAAAAGGGAGCCGATATGATTCGAACTCATTGGTCAAAGTGATTTATGAATCATATTGTTTATAATATTTATTAATTTATAATAAAATGTAATAAATTACATACATTTACATACATTGTGTATAAACTTAAAAAATACAAACTTGAACTATAAAAGTTTTATTTCTTCTAAAATGTGCATTTGAGTGTTTTACGTTTTTACCCACTTTCAAATGTAATAAATAATCTTATATGATTAAAAATCATCCATGTAACCGGAAAAGTAATTCTCTGTTATTGTTTTAAACATTTAAAGTATCAAACACAGGAGTACAGGACTGGCATTCATTACCTATAGAGTTTAATAAATTCTGGTTCTTGTTTAGTTGTAGGTATAGTACCTAAATCTATTAAGACATGTTTATTTTTTTTCAGAAAATGGGGCCAATTGGCAATTTGGAATGATGCAATAGCAGTCAATTATTTTGGATCAATTTAAGTTTTTATTTATTTATTATTTTTACCCCAAATTAAATACCTAATTTAGAATTGAGTGTTTTTTTTTTTAAAGTTGAGCATTCTCGATAAAAGTTTTTCTTAATTTTATTGACACCTGAAAATCAATATTCTTTGAAGTTAAACATACACAATTTAAATCCAGGGTGTTGTCAAAATCATTATTTTATTTAATATGTTATTCATTTATAATGAAGAAAATTCATATATTTTTTTAATTCAATGTAAATTTAATGGTTTTCATAGGTTTGTACTAATTGATTATTACTTTTGGTATATTTCTACTTTACCGGACACCTTTTTTTTTGCGATTTTTGTAATTGAAATATATGTAGGTAAGTACGCTGAAAACGATGGTGAAGTCAGAATTTGGGGCTCGGACTTAGTTTCGAAGTTATCGGCGAATGAAGTTGGCTTTTAAGTTCACTGTCCCTATCATGAAGATTGATGCTAGCAAAGCATCACTGCCCATACTACGACATAACTTATCCTGTGACCTACTTAAGGTGGTGTTGCACAGCAAGTCGAGGGATATTTTCGATTTGCGGAGCGGAGCGACGGCGCCGAGGAGCGTAGCGACGAGTGCCGCTAGCAATGCATCACTGCCCATACACGCGAATAATCACAAGTCCCAGCGCATGCGCAGTAACGCCACAGATTATATGAAAACAGATTGTGCACTATTTTAATTTTTATTCATTATCAACTACAATTCTTATACATTGTCGTTGCCGTCGTCGTCGCCGTCGCCGTCGTCGTCACCGCCACGGCCGTCATTAAATATAACATTTTCATTTGCTTTATGGTACAGTGTACCGGCGCTTGGTCTTTCACCAACTTCATTTGATGTCCACGGATACACTTTTCTTCCGTGGGCAATGCACCTAACATTTGTAATTTATTAATCAAACCTAAACCGTCGTTTAGGTTTGACATCATAAATAAATCGAATAAATTAATATGATTCTCCATCGTATAGGAAAGTAGTGTCGTAGATGTTTTCGCGTACGCACAGAAAAACACAGTGTTATGTAATACGTTAGATATACTTAATCTACAATTTTATGGTGTTTTAATGGAACAATAAACCTAATACAATGATTTATTTATATCATTATTTAAGTTTTCGGTGCAATTACCTGATAAAGTGGATAACCTCGCACCGTACTCTCCATAAAAGCACAAGTGATAGGCACAGTGAACTTAAAAGCCAACTTCATTCGCCGATAACTTCGAAACTAAGTCCGAGCCCCAAATTCTGATTTCACCATAATTTTTTTCGTCAAAAATATGACAAAGTCCCCCAAAAAAAATCGCAAAAAAAAGGGTGTCCGGTAAAGTAGAAAAGTTCCCATTAATTAATAGGGTTATTTGCTTAGCTTAATAATTATAGTGATTACATTTTTTTTTTCAATGTTACTTACATGTTTACATGTTATCTTAACTTATCTTATATTAAACGGTATCAATACCGATGGTTTTAAAAAATTTGTATACTGAGTGGGTGTTGTGATGATCCTCAAGTGCTTCTTGCATAGATGAAGAATAATTGAGGATGGTTCTTGAGTAGACGTTGTGGAAAATCTAGGACTTTTACGGTGAGAAGTGTGTCATATTGGCTGTAGTAGGGTTGTTTTTCATGTAATATCGCATAAATATGAGTGAGGTAGGCGTGTCTGCAGATTCTGGTTCTTGCGGTTAATATGTCTGCACGTTGAGAGGTATTAGGGTTGGTATTGCCATTTGTTTATTTTATTTTTTATTTCTTTAAGCTTATTAGTTATTGGTATTGCATCCCCAGATGTTTGCACACATCATGGGGATTTGTATATTTTTTTATAATTTTTATATTGTTGTACAGTAACAGTTAAGGCTATTATCTTATTAATGTAGGAAAAGTGATTGCCTCATTTGCTTATGAGCCCATTAATTGTTTTAATGGCATGTTGCCATTTATTTAGATTAAAGTTAAGCTGTCGTTTTGTTTACAGTTTGAGAACTATTCAATTTGACTACAATTTTAGGACAAAATAATTGTGATATTATGATAGCAATAATAGCTATAAGTAAAAAATAAAAATATCTTACTGTACAAAATGTTTCATAGTAATTTTAATAGGTATTAAAATATTATTCTATTTGAGTCAGACAATATGTGATTCAATACAGATAAAATTACAGACAATTTTATTTTGCACTCTTAGTATCTGTGTCGTCGTCTATATGTTGATAAAGTTTTGCAAATAAATTACCATTTCTCTTTTGAATAGATTTTAATCTACCAGCAAACGGTGGTCGCGTAGGAGGGTTAACTCTACGATTGTCCTGATCCTGAACTATTTGCAAATACATAACACTATTTGGATCCGCAGCAACAGCTTTATGAGCTATATTATGTTTTATTCCTGTCTGCTGAGTTAATGGTGGAGACATAGGGGAATCTGTAGTAGCTCGTATTACACTTGGTCTATCAGCTAATGATTTTTTGAAACGCATTAAAGTTTTCTCAATAATTTTTTCTTCATCAAGTCTACCACGACATTCAAATAAACATTGCAACACTTTACAATGATTCTCAGTGTATAAGTTTGATTTTAAGAATGTTTCCAACTCTGTCCACATAGACTTGTATTGGTCATCTTTTTTCATCATTTTTCGTGGATTTGATGGATTGGGTGTAATTAGGTGTTCATTTTTTGATTCAGCGGCTATCAAAGAATAAATACATTGTTTGCAATTCATTACTTCCTGATCACTAATGTTATCTTTAACCATTAATGACAACATTGGTTCAGTGTATTGTTTCAAATTAAAAATTATAGTTGATGATGTAATTAATGGCCAATATGCAGTTTGTTTTTTCAATTTTTCTTTTGCATCGTCAATATAGTTTTTATCTTCTGTTTGTTTTCTTTTTGTTGGTTGCAGTAAATTTAACTTCATAAAAGTACCAAAATCAGCTACTCTGTACTGCGTTACTTTCCCTCCAGGGCCTTCACTAATGGCTGGTGGATCTTCAAGTACTGTGCGACCAGACGATACTGTATGTATATATATTTCACCATTGTACGATTTTAAAACATGTGACATGCTTTTACCACCACCTTGTTTAATCATCTCGAGTAAAACTGATCGACCATTCAATAAAAACGTTATCAAACATGCGCTCGGTCTACTGTTTATATCAACTGGAGTGATTCTATGTAGCGTCGTACAACTGTGAATATCTGGCAAATTGTTGTTTGCCCTAGGCGTACACCATTTTAATTTAATTGTCTCATAGTCCGCTCCTTCTTTTTTTGCAACCACTGCTTTGGCATCAGCTACATTTGCATTTAAAATAGTTGTATGTGCAGTAGCTGCATGGTATATTTCTACATCATAATTTGCTGATGAACTGGCATTTTGTTCTTCCTTCATAGGAATACCGGTAACTGTTGTACTAGCTAGATTGTAGTGTTTTAATAAAAGATTTGATATCTTAATACCAATTTTGGATGCAGGAATTGAATGCACTTCCAAATCTAGTATTGATGATATGGGATGAGATGGCCGATCAGTGACTTCACATGTTATAGAATCTGGATAAGTGTTAATTATTACCAAGTGACAATGATTAATAGACATTGAATTAGGTTGAGTTACATATTTGTTGCTTTTGATCATTTCATTATGAAACATGGACATGAGATTATCTATTGATGGGTTGTCCCTGGCTGATGTGATAATAACTGTTCTGCATCTGAAATTTGATAAAATAATATTTAATAAGAAACATGCGAATAACCCAATTGATATAAATTATTTATTTTTAAAAACTTTTCGATTTAAAAACAAAAAATGAATGAACATTTTCAGAAATTTATTAAATGCTAAGAAGTTATCTAATTTATAAAATACTGGAGTTACATTACAAATATCATATTAAACATAATATGACTGTGACTAACCGAGAGTTTAACCGCTGTTCAAATGATTTTCTTATTAAGTAATTCTTGAGGTATTATATATAATTAATTATTATTAAATTAAAAATGGCACATGAAACATTATATTTAATTAATCTGAATCATTCCTCTATATTAGAATTTGCTCAAATAGGTCTAAAATATTAGGGGGGCTGAACTGCTGAAGCCACAGAAAAAAATTAAGCTAATATTTGAGCCATGGAGGGCTTGCATTGGCTTGCATTCCTACTACAGAAAAATAATTACTTCAAATAAAAACAAGCATTACATAATATAACCCAGGCACGGATCCAGACCAAGATAACAGGGGGGGGGGGATTTGAAAGGGCACACTGCACACATGATATAGATGAAATTAAAAATATTAATTTTGATATAGTTTAGTACTTTTTAAAGTATTTATTTAGGTACATACATATTATGTTACTTTTCAGTCTCGTACAGAACAATTAAATTAACTAAACAAATCCCTATTTGAGGGGTAGAAATTCTAAACGTACTATTGCCAAAATTGAGTTAAGTATCGATTCTTATGGAAAAAATATTGATACATCAATTGGCGTTGTCAGAATAGATCAAAGTGTACTATTTTCTGGTGAAATCTGTGATTCAAAATTACTGGTTAATCCAAAACAAACCTTTTCCATACATAAAAATAATATTTAGAAAATCAAAACGTACTTATTCCAGTTTTACGTCAAAACGTATTATTGCCCATGTTAAAAGAATAGGAACAAATCATTAACTATATCAAAACAAACTATTTACAAAATGTACTTTTTTATATGTTATGCCAAAATGTACTTTTACCAGTGTTGTACGCATACTTATATATACCTATTGAAGTAAAAATGTTATTTAAAAACATACTAAAATTAAATTTTAATTAATTTTTAAATTAAATTAAAAATATATATAGAATATTTAACACATTTGAATCGTTTTAAATATAAAATATAATATATTATTAAATAATTTTAATAAAAAACCTTTTTTTTAAATTGATTTGTCTGGTTGTAAATGGTTTGTTTTTATTGGAAATGTTAAGATACAGAAAATCGCTTCTCCTGAAAAATTAGTATTTTAGATACTGTACGTTTTGGATTTTTACTCCTCTTTTACTTTTGATGTAATTATGCCAACAAATTAAGTTTGGGACGGAAACAAAGGGGGTTATCACCCCAAAAGTCCACTTCAGGATCCGCCTTTGAATTATAACCATAATATATTATACTAAAAAATCACATGGATTATAATTTATAGGTTAAGATCTTTTCTTCTATTTTTATTGTTGGCTAAAAAATGTTCTAATACAGTAACACTGTCTATAGTATTCGTTAAATCTCTTTCTATGCTTAAGACTTAAGAGGACGTGGCACCCGTATGTGTTGTCTCCGCCTTAAAAGTGCGTAAAATAGCCAATTTTAGGATCAGCAGATCACATTTAGTTCCGTTAGTTTAAAAATTAGAGTTTCTGGAGGTATAATAATACTGTATTGACCTCTAATACAAATTAAATGTAGGTAAGACTATTATCTAGGCTATGTCATATGTCTGAGTTATGAGTATTTTAGGTAAGATGTACCAATTTACAATTTTCTTATTCTTTTTTCATTAATGTTTCATACTTTCATTTAAACACAAACAATTCATTAGCCAGTGGCGGCTATCTCGACAAATATAACAGGTGCTCACTTAAAATGAACCAGTACCTACCCCCTACCAGTATTTCGGGTAACCTAAAAAATTACTTATTTCACAAAAAAACTTTTTAACCTACTAACATTTAAAGTTTATTTTAATGACCCAATAGTTACAACCCACCCACCTCAGTTATTAAAGGGGTGCTTGAGCACCTTTTCAGATACGTGATAGACGCCACAGTGAATCCTGAAACACCGGCGCAATCGATCATTTCTTTATTTACAGTCAGAAATACTGGGAGTTGGAGTATTGGGTGGTGACCGGCGACCGCCACATGCTACTGCCTCATGCCCGCATTATATTTATTTGATAAAAACGTTATTATTAATTACGTATTACAAAATAAACTATAATATTAATACTCATATTGAAGCTCATATTGCATAGGATGTATCTCACTATCTCATGCTTAAATTATTATTAAATCTTAAATAGGTAAACCAAACTTTTTTCTGGGGGCCAAGTCCCTCTAGTGGCGCCAATGTGTATTAATTGTCTAAACATGAGGTATATTTTTATATAGCTATAATAATAGTTTTTAATACATATTTAAAGATTTAGATTTATATGCAAAAATAATAGTGAATTTGTAATAAATAAAATAATAATAAACAATTATTCCTAACAATCCTAACATAACCACCTAACCATCTTTTGGAATTTGGAAAATTTTTTTTAAGAACCTTTAAACTTTAAATTCAAAATAATTATTACTGTACATAGTTGGTAACAAAATAGTTGTAACTTATAACCCCTCTCTACCCAGTACTGGAAGAGTTTCTGATATGGGCATAGGAACTTAATTAATTTAAAAAAAAACTAACAACTCAGACAAATGCGTTATGCCTATAAAATAAATGGCCTGATTACTGTACTTATAACATGTGTCATGTACCTTATACAAGTTACCTATATGTAAAATTATAATTTAAAATAACTAGGTAAAACAAATTACTTGTTTTGAACTTCGATATTATTTTTCTTAGCCCCTTGATCCATTTGAGCTGTAGTACATTCAATCATCGCTTCGGATGCAGTACGAAATCCATATACAACACTATAGTCTCGATTTGGATTTGGTACAAGTTTTGCAGGTGGCCCTAAAGATGATAAATGATGCAGCATATAGTTAACATTTTGTTGACTAGATGACCAATTATTCAAAGTGCGAGATTGCATGTCACTACTAATAACACGTATAAGTTTTCCTTCTGGAAACAGATCCCATACGATACGGCAGTATTCGAGTACAGCTTCAATGCTACACGTCCACATTGATTTGAATATGGGTGCGGGTGGTATCCCACCAGGTGGCCGTTTGGTGAAGTCCATTTTGATATGCGAGTTACTAGCCAATCCGAAGTATGGAGTGTGGTCCACCACGAATGTGGTTTTATGATTTGCTGGAAAAAGTTGATCCATTAGGCTCATATTTATGCACTAACAATATATTTTAGATAATTTAATCAATAGAATCAAATAGATTCAATCATTAGATAATTTATTTTCCTAAACTAGGATTCAAAATCCAAATGAATGTACATCGATTACATCGCCAATCGTGTCAAAAAAACGGATATCATTGTAAAAAGACAATAAAAGATTACTATAAAAAGTATTTTATAAGTTACGCACTACTGCCCTAAGCAGGTAGTAAGTACTAAGTATTTTTGAAATTTATTTCTAACTGTACACTGTATATCTAGGCATATTATTCTAGCGTGTGGTGTAACTATTCTGATGTAGATAAGAAGATTTGTTATCTGTTATCACAAATCCTACCGGGAATCTTGAAATCGCAGGCGTATCGCGTATAGATATGGTATAGATACCACCCATAGATAATAGATTATCTATTATTATCTATGTAGCCCACGATTTAGGATATAATATTAGTCCGTGACCGTGGATAGAGCTGAGGTTTAGAGCAAGAGTTTGTAGAGGAGTCACTCAGAGAGGAGTCACGACAGAGATTCACATCTGAATAATTCGGAGTTCAGACTGTCTGATCTGACATTTGAATATTTCTCGAAATCTACAGCCAGTTACAAACTACAAAGCCGTTCATTTATTGAAAGTACTTAAAATAATAAATATAATAATATTGTAACGCCTATGATATTGATAAATACTTTATAGTAGATACCTACATTGAATTCTCATTTCCAGTGGTCGAGAGTAGAGCACTAATCGTAGCGTCGCTACAATACACCTAAATACCTAATGTACAATGTTTCGAATAGATCACTAATAATTTATTAAAGTCCTACTCATGTTGTTGTATCTCCGCTGGGCTACACTCCATCTAATCTGCCTTTTTATTTATTTTTAACCTAAACCATAAATTGTTCTTATTGTTCCTCTTTTTTTTGCAACAAATTGAATAAAAACATGAATGAAAAAAATAATAATAAAGAAATTATTAGATAAAGAAAAATGTAACAGTACTAAATTGTATCTAGGTAAAGATAAAGATAATTGTACTAAATTTTATCTAGTTATAAGCTAAAAATTAATACATTTTTGTAAATTTCAGATAATTTCATGTTTAATGCAAATATTCAGTGATATAGGTATTAATTTTTAAAAAAATACACAATTTAAAACACATTAAAAATAAAATAGTTTATTTTTGAAATACATAATATGAAAAGTCATTCTCTGACTGAATTGAATAATAATACAAAGAAGCTGTTAGCTAAAATTAAAAAAAAAATAATAAATGCTTTTGAAATAATAATAATATTCAAACCATGTTTGATCTACAACATCAAATCATTTTAAAATTTCTATCATTTAACCTATTACGCCTAGGTGTTAAAACTTGTATTGCCTTACTAAATAACCTCTCAACTGTTGCTGAGGATAGAATTGTAGATGTATATATTTTAGGAATACCTCTAATAATTACTCAATCCGGCCCTGGACTAGTGGCTGTAAAATTATATTGTCTTCAGTTTTGGCATGCCTGATATAGTATCAGTAAATAAGTAAATTGGTCTCTGTGTTTTTTCCATAAAAATATTGATTTTGAGCTAATATTTTATTCTAAATACTTTTAAAGTTGTAACTTTTGTCAACAGAATTCTTGTTCTTTAAAGATGCCGAAAAATCCATTTGTGAACTGTAAATCACGTAAACGAAGAAAGATCAGAAGAGTACCAACCATCACACCTAAAGAGAAGTTATTTTGTCCCCGGACCATGGTAAGGTATGATGGATCGCACAGTGATTACCCTACCAAATGGGTATGTAAAATGTGCCTGAAAGTCGTTTTAAGTGAGGAAGCCGTCAAGAACCATTTAAACAATTGCAGTGGTCAATCTAACCGAGCTATACCTCCCAAACAAACGAACAAGTAATAGTTCAGTCTTATTTTATTCTAATTAAAGTCTAATTATTATCATACATAATGTAAAAACTAAAAAGTTAATTTATTTTTATTTTGTTTAGAATTGAAGATACTCAATATATATGTGAGTATTGTAACAAGGTATTTTCAAGGCGTGTTACGCTAAAGAAGCACTTGGAAGAACATGAAAAATCATCTAGCAGTCTAGAATCAGAATTATCTGACAATGAAGTTGAAGATGTTCCTTTAATAACAGAACATGCAAATGACAATAACGACAAACCTGAGGAGCAGTCCATTCAATAACATTTGATTAATTTAATTTTGGATTATTTGTATTTTTTTAAATTTAATATTAGATATTATTTTTTTTGATAGTTCCTTACAGCCTGCAGTTGTTTAATTCTGAATAATTCATAGTAATTTGTGATTTGTATCTATATATATTATTTAACTTTGAGTTATGTTATGAAATATGAATTGATTCAATTATTTTAAACTTTATTTTTTTATAGATCTTATTTCCGCAACCGTACGTTATTACTCAGCAAAATATAATTTAATTATTTATAATAATACTATTAATTACTATCGAAATGGTGTCACAGACAATAACATAATTTCCATTTTATTGATGTATGTATACTATAGTCTATTCCACGAGAGAATAATCACTTTTCGCGCATCACAAATGATTTGATTGATGCATCAAGAACCACGTGATCACGTTAACACAGAGAAGTTTTTGGGGAATGTGCGGCACTGACGAGAATCGGTCGGCGGACTGATTATTCTCTCGTGAAATAGACTATAGTTGCCAATGGCAAAGGTTTTTTTAAAAAAAATATATTTGTTGAAAATGTATGTGTCAAAAATAAAAAAAAGTACTAATAGAACATGATAGATTGTAGGTAATATTATTATTATTTTTTGTTGCAATACCTACATATGTAACGAGTATCTTCATTTCTCAACAAAATAAAAACAAATTAACTTCTTAACATTGACTCAATCTGCTGCCGAGCTCTCAAGTCACTTGGCTTCATAATGCGCACCATGAAAGAGTTCAAACTGTCTAGATCTCTTAAGACTGTCTATTGCTCTTTAGTCCGAAGCTTACTAGAGTATGCGTCTGTGCTCTGGGACCCATTTGTGGTAATTGATTCTTGCCATTTAGAGCGAGTTCAAAGGCGCTTTTTGTCGTCTGCAGCTTTTTTTTTTTTTTTTTTATTATTTTATTATGTTGTGTCCTAATTATTATAATTTATATTTATTGTACCTGTAATTTTGCTATATTTTTGGGCCATCGCCCCTTGTATATGTTAATTATGTTAAATTTCTGTATTATTGTTGTGTACTGTACTAAATAAGGAATTTTATTCCGTAAATTAATTAATAAACAAATAAACCTCATGTTTGATAATAATTTATAAAAAAATAATACTAGATGAACTATAACTTTTTTATTAGTGGAGTTCGGTTAGATTGTCCACTCTAATTGGTCAAATGGTTTTCAACAGCTTCTTCGCTTAATATAAATTTCGAGCACATCTTACAAACCCATTTAGTTGGATAATCGCTGTGCGATCCATCATATCTTACCGTAGTACGTGGGAAAAATAGTTTCTCTTTAGGTTTGGTGATCAGGATTCTGATCTTCTGAAAGGATTTGATAATATTAAATAAGTACCTAGGTGTATTGAAAGATTTTAGTTTGTATAAAAGACCTTCGTGCCATACTTTATCAAACGCTTTTGAGACATCTATAAGTACAGTACCACTGTACCAGTATGGCAATGTTTTTCAAATGAAGTGCTAATATGTTCCGTTATACGAAAAAGGTTGTTGTACGGTCGAGTGGTTGGACCTAAACCCAAATTGAAATTTTGGTATAACATCTGCGCTGTTCAAAAAATTTTGTAGTCTTGTTTGAATAACTTTTTCAAATATTTTTGATAGGGAGGTAAGTCGACTTATCGGTCTGTAGCTATCAGGATTTGATTTATCCTTACCCTGTTTTTTTATTAGTATAACTGTTGCTAATTTCCAATTCAGTGGAAAATGTCCGACGCGTAACAAAAAATTAAATAAGGAAGTCATAAAGACGGGTCCTTTGGCAGGAAGTTTCTTGAACATAAGGTTGGTAAGGTGGTTGTGACCCGGGGCTTTTTTGTTTGGTAAATTTTTGACAATCAGCTTAATTTCATTCGGTGTAACATAATCCATGCAAGTTTGAACTGAATAATCAGGTAGATCTAATAACTTATGGACCCGCCGTTCATTATTTATATCTGTAGTTTGGTTGGTAGAAAATGTGTTTTTTAACTTTTTCGAAAAAACATTACATTTATCTGCGTCGGATATCATTAGTTGATTTGCTGTACGGAGAGGGGGGATTATGTTTATTTCTTGGTTCAGTAGTCGTTTGGTCTCCTCCCATAGATTTGAATCTCCCGGGTACATATTTAGGAGATAGCTATTATACGATGACACACGGTTGTTTTGTAGGGCCGTTCTCACGTCCTTAGTGATTTTTTTTATTTGCCGTATTTCTTTGGTTTTGCCAAATTCGTCTAGCATGGTGTTTACGTTGGATTAAGGAAAGTATATATTGAGGTAGAAAGCCGATGTTTTTAGTATTATGTAGCGTGGGCTTAGAGCACGCTCGGGCGGTGTCAGCAATGACTGTGGTTAGGTGTTCAGACATTTGTGCTGCAGCTTGGATCGTGGGTACCTATAGTTTTAGGTATTATTAGTTGGTATTAATTTGATTTGAGAATATATCCCAGTTTGGTTTGCATTTAATAAATTACCTATAGAAAGTTGTTTGACTGATAAGATTGTGAAGATGAATTAATTGTGATTTTAACTGGGATATGGTGTACCTAAGTCGAGCTCAGCGAGAACTTCTTACATGCAATTAAAAGGAAATGATTTTATTAATAAAATATCTAAGATATATGGCTGTCTATTAACACCTGAAAAAAAATAAGTAGGCTTATTTGGAGCATAAATTGTATAAGGCGTGTTATCTATAAAAGACTAGCTGATCCCGTGTACTTCATTACCCGTTAAATGACCAAATCCATATGACTCAAACTTTGTTCAATTCGTTATTTAATATTCAGTGTATAGTGTTCAACATTTATCTTAACTTTTCCGTCTAGAACATCACCCTACGAAGAATTGTAAATGCCCCACCGTATGTATCCAATCATTCCAATCTAACCCTCCATAATGATATGCGCATGAAAACAATTTTTTTTATAAGCATTTATATCACCGTGATATAGCCGCTGTATAACCGCTGTGGAAAAAGCTGTAGGTAAAAACGAGTATTACTAGAGGTAACGGGAACGACCACGACGTGGCGCAAGACACGGAAAAGAGCCGAAGCCGGTGCCGATGCACGAAACGGTTCAACAAACGAGAGGACAAAAAAATGTCTGCCGGGCGAACGCCAAAAAAAGGCGAGTCTAAACGGAGGATTTGTTCAAAGTGTCCGGCGAACAAAACGGCGTCTAGCTGGACACAAAAGAGCTGTGAACTCAGGACAAAAGATCACCTTGGCGTATTACACAGGCGTATTAAAGCCGAGAGGGGAGGGAGCCAAGACTGCAGCGACGTTTAAAAGACACTGTGGAATTAATAGCCAACATTTAATAGCTGACAGAGGTTACTTCTGCCCTGCGGTCAGAATTCTAGCCCTGGATCAAAAGAAGTGTTTTTGTAAAAAGATGATACCTACCTATAAATTATAAAATATATGGCTATATTTCCGTAATATTGTGTACCTACCTACATTTAGTATTTATACTAATAAACGTTATTATTGTTATGTAATTTATTTGGTTTTATTTGATATTATTGAATTTTTAAGCTTTTGATCAATGACCAAAAAAATGTAACAACAAGTTACATATTATTTTTTATTGAAATAAATCTACAATCTATACATTAATTTTTGTACAATAAGTAGGTTTGGTAAGTGAATAATAAAAGGTTAACATGAATCATGCGATTAGTTAGGACTTAGGATACCCAGTGGTAATACCCTATAATATTATACCTAACAGGTATACCTAATAATCGTATAATATGGGGGACGGAATGGCCGAGCGGTCTATTTTTTTTTTATATTTATATAAAAAAAAACTTTTTAAAATAAGTTTGTGTTTAATTAGGTTTTTTCGTTAGTTAAATTGTTCTATTCGTTGAACTCAACAATTTTAATTGAATTGATTTTAATATGATATAAATGTGTTTCATAAAGTACCTCAATTATATAATATAAAATAATACACACAGTGGTGCTCACGGGGTAGTCATGGTAGGCACTTGACTACTCTGCGAACTTTCCCCCCTCAATGGCTCAATATTCATTATTATTATCACGACAGTTGATAGTCAATCATAAAATACTTTTTTACTATCGCAAATGTAGTTAAACGAGGTTACCCCATCCAAATTAATTTAATAACTTAGATGTGAATATGAATAAAATAATACGTAATATGTGTGTGTGTTAATGTGTTATGTACTTATGTATGACTACCCTGCCAGAAATTCTGCGAAATCCTTATAAAATACATCCAAACGTTCGTAATTATCCATCTAATGGAATTTTGGTACTTTGGGGAGTCAAAAGTATAATTTTTTTAGTAGTTTTCAAAAGTGCCGTGAAAAACAAAAGAAAAATTAAAATAGAACGGGAATTTTTACACACAATCTGTTTTCGAAAAAAATAATTTTGGTTCTGGTGCAACCCTTAAATAAATGACCGTAGATACATAACATTTTGACTGAATGTTTATATTAGCATTTTCTGTACACAAAAAAAATTAACTTTTTAACTGAACTTTAACTTTTCAACTAATTAATGCCCACCTTTGAGGAGGAGTGAGAGCAACACTACTAGTTAGTAGTTCTTGTATTTTTTTTGAAGTATCTGGAAGATTGAGATCTTGAGGAGAACTACTATTATTTTTAGGATTCATTGAATAAGATTAATTATAAGAAACACAAACGTTGGGATTGAACAGAGAGCTGAGAACAACCTGTCGCGGCGGCTACTGATAACCAACTGAGGTCTGAGATACTTACTAACATCTTGTTTTATAATCACAGAAATTAATTTTATTTATCTTTGATATTATATTAATATAAGAAAAATATGTCTATGATTTTATCACGTATTGAATGATTTGAACAACAGATATATAATCATAATATCATATATATTATATTAAACTTAATAATAAGTATAATATAATTTACTATCTAGACTTTGTATGTTTTGTATACAA